AAAATATAAAACCAATTAGTTTATATGCGGAAACGAAAAAAAAGTTATAATTTATCAGAGACGGTGATGCTTCGAACATCCTTGGCGCAAATCTAAAGACCTCAATTTACAAATTCCCCCTTTTTAATGGCTTGGCAGTCCGTGAAAAAAATTAAAATATGAACCACAAATACCAATTTTTAGACATATTCGTGGGAAAATGTGGTCAAAATCATCAAAATACCGAATATCGGGAGGTATCGCTATATGGGGCTATACAAAAACGTGGACCTATACATACAATGTTTCGCCACCGGAGCTAGAAACCATTACGAACTACAAATATCAATTTTCAGGCAAATCGGTTAATCATCAAAATCATCAAAATACCGAATATCGAGAGGTACCGTTATATGGCGGCTATACAAAAGCGTGGACCTATACATACAATGTTCCGCCATACGAACTAGGAGCCATTATGACCTACAAATACCAATTCTCAGATAAATCCATGAAGAAATGTGGCAAAAATCATCAAAATACCGAATATCGGGAGGTACCGTTATGTGGCGGCAATACTAAAACGTGGGCCTATATATGCTACGTTTCGCCATAAGAACTAGAACCCCTTTTCACTTACAAATACCAATTCTCAGATAAATGCGTGAAAAAATGTGGCAAAAATCATCAGAATACCGAATATCGGGAGGTACCGTTATATGTGGTCTATACTAAAACGTGGACCTTTACATGCAATGTTTCGCCACCGGAGCTAGAAACCATTATGACCAACAAATTCCAATTTTTAGACAAATCCGTGAAAAAAATGTGGCAAAAATCATCAAAATACCGAATATCGGGAAGTACCGTTATATGGTGGCTATACTAAAACTTGGACCTATACATGCAATTTTTGGCCACACGAACTAGGACCCATTATAACCTACATATACCAAGTCTAAGACAAACCCGTGAAAAAATTTTGCAAAAATCATCAAAATACCGAATATCGGGAGGTACCTTAAATGGCGGCTATACCAAAACGTGGACCTATACATGCAATATTTCGCCAACGGAGCTAGAACCCATTATAACCTACAAATACCAATTGTCAGTCAAATCGGTGAAAAAATGTGACACAAATCATCAAAATACCGAATATCGGGAGGTACCTTTATATGGCGGCTATACCAAATCGTGGACCTATACATGCAATTTTTCGCCAACGGAGCTAGAACCCATTATGACCTACAAATACCATTTCTCAGACAAATCCATGAAAAAATTTAGAAAAAATCATCAAAATACCGAATATCGGAAGGTACCGTTATATGGGGACCAAAACGTGGACCGATATATCTCATTTTCAATGCCAACCATCCTAGTCACAATACAAATTATTCTGCTAAATTTTGACGCTCTACGTCAAAAAATGTGGCCTGTATCGTGATTTCATCCGACAGACAGACAGACGGACAGCGTTAAATCGTCTTCGAATTTTAGATATATATTCATTATGGGGTCTATGACGAATATTTAGAGATGTTACAAATGGAATGACAAAGTAAATATACCCTCCATTCTAAGGTGGAGGGTATAAAAATACATTGCCCCCGCATTGACATCCTCTGCTGTGGCCATTTTCATTTTTAACACAGCCGCTGATACATTTCGAATTCAAGGTTATTTTCTTTTACATTTGGAGCATAAGCACCGCTTGTATTCAGACCGAGCTTTTCATCACACGACCATTGTCAGTTTATTTTTACGCTTCGTTTGTAAAATTTTAGCTCACTGATGGTTGTTGTTGCTACTGCTGCTCGGTCAACATTTGTATCTATTGTTTTCGGGGGGAGGGGGAGGCATTGATGGCGGCACTGTCATGACTGGAATGTTAAACAAGAACCGTCAATTATGAAATTCACAACATCTCATAATCATGCATTGCATTGAAATTGACCCATGAATTACATCCCAACCGGGTATTTTGAAATTAGTCTTCGTCAGCTCAGAGTTTTAAATAGTTTCATAATTTTTGTGCAGCACTTTTAACTGTTGAGATAAGAGCACAGTTTTAAAATATGAAATGTGATAATGGATATAAGTTATGTGGGGCGTATACATGTTGAAAATATGCATACGTCCCATGGGACGACATAACATATGTTTGATTCCAACCGATTTTAAAATAAACAAATTAATAAACTTTAATTGTGGGTACTATAAAGACTACTATTTTGGATACCATTTAGAAAAAATCATCAGGCAAGTAAAACAGGGACGATGCCTTTTGAAATTCCTCAATCTGCCTTAAAATCAGTTTTCATACTTTTGAACCGAAGGCCTTTGACAAATTCATTTAAAATGTTGTTAAAAATTTGCTTTAAGGTATAAAGGATGAGACCAAAAAAAAAAAAAACTGCAACAAAGTCAAATGCAATAATTTTTACATTTTGTTTTTGAAATTTATTGAATGAAAGCAAAAAATGTCGGAAATAGCATCAATTTTTATAATAATGTTACATTTTTCGAATTGGTCGCCTTTGGCACGAATTATGGCCTTCATAAATGGCAATATTTCATCTGAGACTTATAAATGCTTTTAAAATGAATTGCAAGCTCTCAATTCCATTCCATTCACTGGATAGTATGAGACATTTCCTTTGGACGTGGGCGAGAGATTTCCCAAAATAATTACCTGAAAAATTCCAAAAATATCAAGCCAGCTAATGGTCTATATTTCTAATGCTCTCGTCGTTTTAAATAAATGGCAAATATAATAGACAAAGGAGCTAAGTTTTTTTTTTACCATCCACCATTTAAAAAAAAATTTAATTTTCAAAAAAAAAATTTCGTCGAAAAACAATTTTTTAAAAAGAGCGTACTATTTTTATAGTTTCTATAGTTGGAAGACTTTTGAGTGGTCTTATATGTCGGGATAAAATTCTAGCAATTTTCTAGACATGGAAGTCCCACAATTTAAACTTTATAGATAATTGATCCTTGAGGCGGCTTCTACTGACATATGGTTTTCATGATGTGCTTCTTGAGGTTTTTTTTTGGATTGTACACTTTAAGTTGAGGTAAACATGAAGAGAGCGCACTCTGATGATCTGCTATAGATAGAAGACCCTCCAAATTACAGAAAAAGATTTGAAATTCTCAAGAGGTTGTCAATATAGTCAAACGCCATAATTTTTACATTTTGTTTTTGGAAGCAAAAAATGTCGGAAATAGCAACAAATTTTATAATAATGTTACATTTTTCGAATTGGTCACCTTTGGCACGAATTATGGCCTTCAAACGGCCAATGAAACCGTCACACGCTGTTGTTGTTGCTCTACGGTGAATGTTGCTCTACGGTATTTTCGCCCATTCCCGGCGAAGCGCTTGCTTGAGGTGATCGACTCTTTGGTATTTGCTAGTGTCAACCTTGCTTTCTAAAATACTCCAGACACAATTGTCAAACGGATTGGTATCCGGAAATTTTGGTGGCCATTGTGCGCTGGAAATGGGGCGAGGAACCTCATTTTTTAATCATTTATGGGTGGCGCGTGCTGATTGCAATGGAGCTTAGTCCTGTTAGAATGTCTAAGGTCTGGGGCCAAAATGTTTGCGTGCCCATGGCTTTAGTACACCCTCCAGAATTTTTTCGCAATAATATTCGGCATTTATTCGGATGACATAGTCGATTAATACGAGCGGAGAGCGACCATCGGCTGTTAAGGCGACCCACACCATCACCATTGGCGGCGCTTGAGTTCTGGTGGCCAACCGAAGATGCACATTTTCAGCAGACCACGATGGCAAGTAAACACGATCATTTTTTCTAATCGGAGAAAACCATATTCGGCAGTTCACCACTTTCGGCCAAGCCAAGCAACTCTTTAGCTCTTTTCAGTCTATTTTCTTTCTGTTGCGGTGTAAGTTCTTGCACCTTTTGGAATTGCAATGGCTTTACCCTGAGCTCATTTTTTGCCGAATGGAATATTGCGATATGTTCAGCTCATGAGCCATTATTCGGCCACTGCGAGCTAGTTTCGATCAAGTCGCTTCTTTACTTTTCGAACCATTTCTACTGATGTTGCTGTTTTCCTCCATCCCCTTCCTTGACGGCGGGTTACGCTGCCAGTTTCACGGTTACAATCGATGGTACGAGACACAAAATATTTATTCACATTTAAATGTTGGAGTGCTCTAACGATAGCCACTTGTGGTTTTCCAGGCAAATATAAAAAAATCTCCCAATCACGCTTGAATTCCATCACGAATAATTTTTGTTTTCAGGAAAATTCTCACCAAAATGCTTTTGTACGCTTATAAACAATATAATGAGCTGGCATTGGAATTATTTGAACAGCTGTCGGGCGAGTGCCTTCGAAATGACAGCAGTCTGCAGTTGGTTGCAGTTTTTTCATCTCACGCTGTATAGTTTGTAGAACCGCAATCAAGGAACCAAGAACCAACAAAAGTGGTTTGTTTTTTAAAGAACATCATTTCAGGATTAACAAACGTGATTTTTTTTTTTTTTTTTTTTTTTTGGAATCCTTACAACGTATTTTTTCCAAGGATCCTCTGGTTATAAAAATGGATTTTCAAAGCTTCTTTGAAGGTGTGGACTTATCTAAAAAAAATCAGGACATCCAATGGTCATAGGATTTTTTTTTTTTTTTTGCGGGGATCCTCTGAATGTCATGGACCCTCTGGCCATTGAAGTTTGAGTTTGGTCCAAGATTCTTCTAATTTTTAAAAATGGATTTAAAATATACCATTTTAAGGATCCTCTAGCCAATGAAGAATTATTATTTTTGGAGATTTTTTCCAAGGATCCTCTTATTATTACGAGTAGATTTTTCAAGTGTCTTTTGAATATTAGACGTGGAGATTTTTCAAAAATTTTTTTCAGGACACTGCATACCAACTATCCTCGATTCTATCCAAATATTGTGAATCAATGTCCGTTATCATTTTTTTTTTTTTTGTTTTTACTTCTTTATTAATATTTTATTAAAATCTCAACACAATTACAAAAATTGAAATCTTCTTGTTTTTACTGAGCTTCATCTATAGTTTGTAGAACCGCAATCAGAGAACCAGCTGTCTTAAACACCTGCAATAAATTTCAAATTTCGTGAGATATTTAATTTGAATTTTATGAAGATGACGAAGCATCGCCTCGACTTACCCACACAAACAAACTCAGATCGATCCTAAAAAACACTCCACGCATTTCACAGCTACGCTGAGCCCGAATCATTGGCAGCAACAACATGCGCTGGGTCGGGATCGGTAATTTGGACCAGGGAAAAATTAAATAGACTTTGGTGGCCACCAGCTCACTCTGCCGAAAAAAAAAATGTTTCGAGAAAAAGTAAAATATTTCAAAATTTTGAAAATAAGATACAAATTTTTAATTTAAATTTTAACAACATTTTTTCAATTTTCCCATTGAAATATTTGCAATATTTTCGAAAGGCTTGAATAATAAATGAAAAAAAAAATATGCTGTTTTTTATACCCTCTACCATACACAGTATGGAGGGTATATTAAGTTGGTCACAACGTTTGTAACTCATCGAAATAATAATTTTAGACCCAACAAAGTATATATATTCTGGTCAGCGTAAAATTCTAAGACGATTTAGAACTGTACTTTATCCCCTGGAGGTGATTTATCCCCATATATCGACACCTTCCGATATTCGGTATTTTTATGATTTTAACAGAATTTTTAATAGATTTCAATTTTTTTTTTTTTTTTTTTTTTTTTTGAAAATTTCCTAATTCGTTCCAAATGGCAGAATGTGTTCAAAGTTCGGTCCGGCCGAATTTACTGCTTGTTTACTTGTTATAACCTGAAATATCTTCAAAGATATTTGTTAAGCTTGTCCATTTTAGTCCTTGAATTTTCCTTAAGTTCGTCTTCCACCGTAACCAATTTATTTCCAAAATACTTCATTTTTCCAATCTGCCCCTCAACGGGCAAACCTTTCTTTAACTCCCCACCCCACCCCACCTCAACTCACCTCATCCGTTATACGCTGCGCATTGTAACAATATGTGGCCAATTGCATTGAAACGGCTCCCAAAAAAATACTCTGATAGAATAAATTAAACGCCGATTCTTTCGAATCCGAACTGCTTACGAAGAATACCGAACAACAAATCTGAATACTGGACACAACGAATTTCACAAAGGTTATGGCGCCATAGACCCGATTCAATTCCTTGACCAAATCCAAAGTGCGATTATGAAATCGTATGCAATCGTTGATGAGACGATGCTGCTCCTCGCTAATCGAAATTTCACTTCCATCCAGGGCCGTCGTGGCCCAGGCAGCCTGCTGGAAACGATGTGTCAAAATTCGAAATTGTGCCACGATATTCGACATCAGCCACGAGTAGAGAGTGTCAATGCCGATTGTCGTGAAACACAGTGTGCCCAAGCGAAGGAGGGTGATAATGTAGACCAGGGTGTAACCGTGCACGGTATCGTAATTCCAAAGGGAGCTGGGAAAATAAATGGGAAATAAGAAAACTATCAAATTTAATGTGTCTCGCATTTGAAGAAAATTAAGGCGATTGTAGAAATGTTAGCAATTTTATCAAAATGTCCAGAATCCACAAAAACATCTTTCCAGTGACAATTAACCTAATTTTTGTTTCAATTGTTTTTTTTTTCTGGAATTTTAAAAAATTTATAGAATACGATTTACTTACGGTGATGCAACTGGCGTCACATAAACAAGGTATCCATTTCTCAAGTAGCCGAGAATGGTTCGTGCAAATGGCAGCGTCATCCCAAAGAAAGTGGTTCCATAAATGACAATACAATACAAAGTACAGATTCGAATATCCTTTCTATTCTCTTCTTTTATTATGGCCAATTCCTCGGACTGGGCTGGAAAGAGAGCGATTTTTATTTCAAGGAGAATAACTTTACAAGGACTAAATTATCCACCATAAGGATTTTTCATGGGGGTTTTCTTTTATAGAGGACAAAACGATCCCTTAACTGTAGTTTTAAAAATATATATATTTTTTTTTTTCAAGGACCTTCAGACCGCGAAGAGTGAACTTTCAAGGAGAATATCTTTGAAAGCGCTAAATTACCCATCATAATGATTTTTCAAGAGGTTTTCCTTTTGTCAAGGACAACCCAATACTTAAACTGAGAATAAAAAAAAAAACAAAGTCATTTTTAAAGAACATTTTTTCAAAAACGAAAGGGCGTGGAGTTTCACAAAAAAATATATATTTTTTTAAGGACCTTCATAATGTTTGCTCAAGGACGCTTTGATCCAAAAATTTGGGGTTCAGATAATATTTTTCAAGAATAAAAAAATCGTGGATTTTTAAAAAAATATTTTTTCATGAATAAGCAAACGTGGATTTTTTAAAGAAAATTTTTTCAAGAATAAGCAAACGTGGATTTTTTAAAGAATATTTTTTCAAAAATAAGTAAACGTGGATTTTTTAAAGAATATTTTTTCAAAAATAAGTAAACGTGGATTTTTTAAAGAATATTTTTTCAAAAATAAGTAAACGTGGATTTTTTAAAGAATATTTTTTCAAAAATAAGTAAACGTGGATTTTTTAAAGAATATTTTTTCAAAAATAAGTAAACGTGGATTTTTTAAAGAATATTTTTTCAAAAATAAGTAAACGTGGATTTTTTAAAGAATATTTTTTCAAAATAAGTAAACGTGGATTTTTTAAAGAATATTTTTTCAAAAATAAGTAAACGTGGATTTTTTAAAGAATATTTTTTCAAAAATAAGTAAACGTGGATTTTTTAAAGAATATTTTTTCAAAAATAAGTAAACGTGGATTTTTTAAAGAATATTTTTTCAAAAATAAGTAAACGTGGATTTTTTAAAGAATATTTTTTCAAAAATAAGTAAACGTGGATTTTTTAAAGAATATTTTTTCAAAAATAAGTAAACGTGGATTTTTTAAAGAATATTTTTTCAAAAATAAGTAAACGTGGATTTTTTAAAGAATATTTTTTCAAAAATAAGTAAACGTGGATTTTTTAAAGAATATTTTTTCAAAAATAAGTAAACGTGGATTTTTTAAAGAATATTTTTTCAAAAATAAGTAAACGTGGATTTTTTTAAAAATATTTTTTCAAAAATAAGTAAACGTGGATTTTTTAAAGAATATTTTTTCAAAAATAAGTAAACGTGGATTTTTTAAAGAATATTTTTTCAAAATAAGTAAACGTGGATTTTTTAAAGAATATTTTTTCAAAAATAAGTAAACGTGGATTTTTTAAAGAATATTTTTTCAAAAATAAGTAAACGTGGATTTTTTAAAGAATATTTTTTCAAAAATAAATAAACGTGGATTTTTTAAAGAATATTTCTTCAAAAATAAGTAAACGTGGATTTTTTAAAGAATATTTTTTCAAAAATAAATAAACGTGGATTTTTTAAAGAATATTTTTTCAAAAATAAATAAACGTGGATTTTTTAAAGAATATTTTTTTTACGACAAGAGTTGAACTTGAATTTTTCAAAGAATGTTTTTTTTAAAGGAACCTCTTGTCGTTGAACTTGCATTTTTTAAAGAAAATTTTTTTTAAGGAACCTCTTGTCGTTGAACTTGCATTTTTTAAAGAAAATTTTTTTTAAGGAACCTTATGTCGTTGAACTTGCATTTTTTAAAGAATATTTTTTCAAAGACAATCTGGCTTTTGTATGAGGATATTCTTTGCGATTTTTTTTTTACAAAGATCCTCTGATCATTAAATATAGATTCCTCAAATACTTTTTAGGGACCCTCTGGCTATTAACGCTGGATTTTTAAAGAACCATGTAGCCAATAAACGGCCCTTTTTAAAAAGTTATTCATAACAAGATTTAATGTTTTGCCAAGGACCTTCAGACCACATGCCATAGATTTTTAGAGAATATTTTTTTAAGGACGAACATACATGGATTTTTATATAAAATTCTGTTAAGGACCTTCAGACAACCATAAGTGAACTCTTTTTAACAATATTTGTTCAAGGACGCTTTGGGTAAGAGACATGGATTTTTTTTACGAATATTTTTTTAAGGATAAAAACAACGTAATTTTTTAGAGATTTTTTTTTTTTCAAGAATAAACAAACATAATTTTTTTTTAAAAAATATTTTTTTAATGCCCTTCTGGCACTTGGATGGGGATTGTGAGCTTTTTTCTAAAGGATCCTCTGGGCATTAGATATGGATTTTTCAAATACTTTTTTAAGGAGCATCTAGCCATTAACGGCGGAGTTTTAAAGGATTCTGTGGCCATTAAACGTAAAGGACCAAGGACCTTCAGACCACACACCATGGAGTTTTTAAAGAATATTTTTTCAGGAACAATGTGGATAAAAAAAATATATATATTTTCTTCAAGGACCTTCAGACAAGCAAACTTTAACCTTTTTAAGAATATTTTTCAAGGACGCATTGGCTAACGATCATGGATTTTTAAAGAACTTTTTTCAAGGATCAACAAACATGGATTTTTTAAATAATTTCTTTCAAGGATCAGCTAAAGTGTTGTTTTTAAATAACTTTTTTCAAGGATCAACTAACATGTTTTTTAAGGAACGTATTTCAAATTTTTTAATTTCCTTTAAGGATCGTGGTTTATTTAAAAAATTTCTTTCAAGGATCAATTAAAAAGGGTTATTTTTAATAATTTCTGTCAAGGATCAACAAACAAGGATTTTTCAAGAATATTTTTTCAAGGACTCCCTACCTATTGAATGGGGATTTTTTGAGATATTTCCCTTTCAAGGACCCATTGAATAGGAATTTTTTTGAGATTTTTTTCCCTTTCAAAAACACATTGAATGGGGATTTTTTTGAGATTTTTTTTCCCAAGGACTATGTGGCCATGGAATGGAGATTTTTTCCAAAGGACCCTCTGCCTATTGTGTAGCGATTTTTTTGAGTTTTTTTTCAAAAGGATCCTCCTTGTATTAGTTGTGGATTTTTCAAAAAAAAAAAAATAAGGATCTTGTTATTATTAAAAGTGGCTTTTTTAAGATTTTTTTAAAGGATATTCGGACCATTAATGTTTCATGTTTTTTTAGATTTCATTCCAACGATCCTCTCATTATTATACGTGGAGTTTTTATAGAATTCTTTCAAGGACCTCTGACCATGGAAGGTGGTTTCTTTTTTTAGATTTTTCCATGGATTCTTTGTCTACTAAACGTGATTTTGTTTTTTTTTTTTTAATGATCCTCCACCTATAAATAGGGGATATTTAAAGGATATTTTTAAGTACCCTCTGGCCATTAATGGTGTTTTTTTTTTTAAGTTTTAGTCCTAGGATCCGTTGATCATTGAACGTGGATTTTGTGATTTTTTCCAAGGACCTCTGACTATTGAAGAGGGATGTTTTGAGATTTTTGCCAAAGATTCTCCTTCTGGACATTAATGTTTTATTTTATTTTTTCTAGATTTCTTTCCGAAGATCCTCTAATTTTTATACGTGAAGTTTTTAATGAATTCTTTAAAAGACCTCTGACCATGGAAGGTGGTTTCTTTTTTTAGATTTTTCTATGGATTCTTTGTCTACTAAACGTGATTTTGTTTTATTTTTTTCCAACGATCCTAGGGGATCGATAAGGGATTTTTAAAGGATATTTTTAAGTACCATCTGGCCATTAATCGTGTTTTTTTAAAGATTTTTTCCAAAGACCTCTGACCATTGAAGGGGGATTTTTTGGAGATTTTTTCCAAGGACCTCTGACCATTGAAGCGGGATTTTTTTTTTCAATTTTCCAAAGATTTTCTAATTATTAAACTTGGATATTTTTAAAGCCGCTTCAAAGAATCATCTGGTCATTGATTTTTCTGAGATTTTTTTCCAGGGTCCCAGATTATTAGACGTAATTTTTTGAGATTTTTTTGCAAGCATTGATTGATTATTCGACTTATACTTCTTAAAGATTTTTTAAGAGACCTTTGGCCATTGAAGGTTGATTTTTCCAAGGATTCTCTGGTTATAAAACATGGATTTTTAAAGAGCATTTTTTCAAGGATCCTCTGCTTATTATACGTGAGATATTTTAAAGAGTTGCTTTCAAGGACACTCTGGCCATTTAAGATTGAGTTTGTCTCAAGGTTTTTTTTTCCAAGGATCCTCTGATTGTTAAACGTGTATTATTAATGATTGTTCTTTTTTCAAACCTCTGATTATTGGATTCGGATTTTTTTCAAAGGATCCTCTCATTGTTAAATTCTTTTTTATAGGTTTTTTTTCAAGCACCTTTCTGGTCGATTTCTTTAGATTTTTTTCCAAAGAAGTGGAATCTTTTTGAGATTTTTTTTCTAAGGATCCTGTGACAATTAAAAATGCGTTTTATAAAGTTTTTTCAAGGACCATTTGGCCATTGAAGCTGAATTTTTTTTAAAACATGCGTTTTTAAAGAATATTTGTTTTCAAGGATCCTCTGCTTCTTAGACGTGGATATTCTAAAGAGTTGTTTTCATGGACAGTCTGGCCAATAAAAGTTGAGTGTGTTTCAAGGATTTTTTCCAAGGATTCTGAACTTTTAAAGATGGTTTTTTCAAGGAGCTCTTACTATTTAAGGCGGATTTTTTTTAAATAATATTTCCTCTGATTATTATATGTGGATTTTTTTTACGATTTTTTTAACAACATTCCGGCCAGTAAAGTTGAGTTTGTATCAATGATTTTCTGATTATTGAACTTGGGTTAGAAAACATTAAAGGAACATCTGGACCTTGAAGGTGGATATTTAAAAGATTTTTTCTCCAAGGGTTGTCTAATTATAAATCTTGGGTCTTGAAATAATTTTATTTTCCCAATTTTTTGAGATTTATTCTTTATTCTGATTTTAAACTTTGATTTGAAAGGCACTTGTTTTCAAGAAGCAATAAACTTGAACATAAACGCATAAACAAAGGATCCTCAGAATACCAAACTTAGATTTTTGACAGAATATTTTTTCCAGGACACTCATCACCAAACATGTGTTTTTTAAACAAACTTTAAAGGACTCCCCAAAAAATCCTAACATTTTTTGACTTACCATTAAACGCAAACGGACTCCCCAAAAAATCCTAACATTTTTTGACTTACCATTAAACGCATCCGTCTGCAACATTCTCACCAATTCCACAATCCCTTGGCGTTTAAAAAAGAAAATCACCAATTTGGTTATGCAAATAACCCCCTGGCAGGACAGGGCAATGGAATAGGCAGCCGAAACAATGTCGCTCGTATAGACATACGAATAATGCCCAATTGAGATATATTGCAGAACCGTCAAAATAAACAACACTGCATATCGAATGGGATGCCTGAAGATGCGTTCCGAACCGGCGGGGCTCATCGATTCGACTTCAACACCCAAGGCAGCAAATGCAAATTTTTGCATGCCAAAATAACGTTTTAATATTTTCATTTTCGTCTGCGATTGGTTCGATTTTTCCGAATATGTCCACAACTCTGTAGGACGTTCATAAGGCAACTAATGTCTTAAGGGTAGGCATTTTCAAAACTGGAAATTAAAAAGGAAATTGATTTTTACAATGAGAATTGACAAACCTTCAATTATTATTTTAATAATTCGGTGAATTAGAAAAATGTAGGTAGCCCGTCCTCGGGTAAAATAGGAATTAGGTTAGCCATTTAGGGACATTAAAAACAAGACTACTTCTATAATTCAACTCAATCGGGTTTCTACTACTACTGAAAACCAAAAAAAAAAAAAATATTATCTAAGGACCTAACTTGGATTTTCAAAGAATTATTGTTCAAAGACAAAGAATTTAACAATCCTGGATTTTTCAAGGACTTCTTTCTCTCTTACTAATCGTAAAATATGTCCTTGAAAAAAATCTTGGAATGTCAATACTTTGTGTTCTAATGATGGTTGAAGAAGATTTTTTGAGTAATACACGTTCGGTAGCTTATTGGTCCTCGAAAAAAATCACGATTATTGGTCTTGGAACAAAGCTACGAAAATATTATTTAAAAAATTCCGATTTTGGTCCCTTCATGAAAATATTGAAAAAGCGTTAATTTCATGCTCTTCTGGCTATTCATAAAGAAAGTTGTTCCTTCAAAAATCTTAAGAAAAACACTATTTTCGGACCGGAAGCCGTTGAAAAAAATTCTATTGAGCGATGATTATTGCTCTATTTTGGTTGCTTGTTGGTCTGAAAAAAGGAATTCTTAAAATTCTTCGCGATTGTTTTTTTTTTGTTCCTTGAAAAAATATTTTTTAAAGAGTTCACGCTTGTTGATCCTTTGTTTCTGAAAAACTATTCTTTGAAGAATCTACGCTTGTTGATCCTTTGGTTCTTAAAAAATATTCTTTAAAAACTCCACATTTGTTGATCCTTGGGTTCTTAAAAAATGTCCTTAAAAATTCACGACTGTATGTCCTTTTGTCCTTGAAAAAATATTCTTTCAAAAATCCACGCTTGTTGATCCTTGGGTTCTTAAACATATACTTAAAAAATCATAACTATAAGTCATTTTGTCCTTGAAAAAATATTTTTTAAAAATCCCCGTTTGTTAGTCAAATGGCCCTTAAAGGAATATTTAAAAAAAATCAATGTTTAGCCTTGGAAAGAGTCTCTAAAAATAATTTTTCTTTCACTATCCTGGTCCTTAAAAAATATTCTTTGAAAAACCCACTTTTGTTGATCTTTTGGCTCTTGAAAAAATATTCTTTAAAATCCGCATTTGTTTATCTTTTGTTCCTTGAAAAAGTATTCCTTAAAATCCACGTTTGTTGATCCTTTGGTTCTTAAAAAAATGTGTTTTTTTTAATCCACGTTTGTTGATCCTTTGGTCCCAGAAAAAATATTCTTGAAAAAGACACGTTTTTTGATCCTTTGGTCCTTGAAAAAATATTCTTTGAAAAAGGCACGTTTGCTGATCCTTTGGTCCTTGAAAAAATATTCTTTAAAAATCCACGTTTGTTGATCCTTTGGTCCTTGAAAAAATATTTTTTAAAAAATCAACGTTTGTTGATCCTTTGTTTCTTGAAAAAAATATTCTTAAAAATCCACGTTTGTTGATCCTTTGGTCCTTCAAAAAATATTCTTTAAAAATCCACGTTTGTTGATCCTTTTGTCCTTGAAAAAATATTCTTTAAAAAATCCAAGTTTATTCATCCTTTCGTCCTTGAAAAAAAAATTAAAAAATCAACGTTTGTTGATCCTGTGGTTCTTGAAAAAATATTCTCTAAAAATCCACGTTTGTTGATCCTTTGGTCCTTGAAAAAATATTCTTTAAAAAATCCAAGTTTATTGATCCTTTCGTCCTTGATAAAAATATTTAAAAAATTAACGTTTGTTGATTCTTCGGTTCTTGAAAAAATATTCTTTAAAAATCCATGTTTGTTGATCCTTTGGTCCTTGAAAAAATATTCTTTAAAAAATCCACGTTTGTTGATCCTTTGGTCTTTTGAAAAATATTCTTTAAAAAATCCACGTTTGTTGATCCTTTGGTGCTTGAATAAATATTCTTTACAAATCCACGTTTGTTAATCCTTTGGTCCTTGAAAAAAATATTCTTTAAAAATCCAAGTTTGTTGATCCTTTGGTCCTTGAAAAAATATTCTTTAAAAATCCACGTTTGTTGATCCTTTGGTCCTTGAAAAAAATCCACGCTCTTTGGTACTTGAAAAAATATTCTTTATAAATCCAAGTTTGTCGATCCTTTTATCCTTGAAAAAATATTCTTTAAAAATCCACGTTTGTCTATCCTTTGGTCCTTGAAAGGTACTCTTTAAAAAAATCGATTTTGTTGACACTTCGGTTCTTAAAAAAATCCACGTCTGTTGATGCTTTAGTCCTCGAAGAAATATTTTTAAAAAAATCCACGTTTGTTGACACTTTGGTCCTTGGAAAAATATTCTTTAAAAAATCCAAGTTTATTCATCCTTTCGTCCTTGAAAAAAAAAATTTAAAAATCCACGTTTGTTGATCCTTTGGTTCTTGAAAAAATATTGTTTAAAACCACACATATTCTAGTCCTCTGGTATTAAAAACTGGTCTTCAAAAATCCGAGTTAGTTAGTCCTTTGATTATTGAAAAATATTTTTTGTTAATCCTTTGTCTTTGAAAAAATGTAAAAAACATGGCGTTCGACTTTGTTGCAGTTTTTAATCTCACCCTGTATTTTGGAAAGCAAGGTTGGCACTAAAAAATACCAAAGTGTCAAAGCAAGCTCTTCGCCGGAAATTTAAAAAAAAAGTACAAATTATGACATTTGACTTTCTTGCAGTTTTTTATCTCACCCTGTACATACATGATCTTAAACTACGCTTTACCTGCAAATACACTCACACAATTCACATCTACAGATTTTTTATTCATCTATAACATCTACAAAATACTACAATTTTATTCGATTTTATAAAGCATAAACTTTTTTGGTAATTATTAACCCCCTTTGCCCAGGCTCTATTTGTCCTCCTCCAAAGTTTTTAGGGCGGCAATCAACGAGCCAGCTGTCTTGAAAACCTAGAAAAAAATTAAAAACAAAAAAAACATTTCAAGTGCTCTCAAATTTTTCAAATTTAAAACAAACTCACCCACAAATACAAACTCAAATCGACGGTGAAGAATACCCCGCGCAGTTCACTAAAACGCTGGGCACGAATCATTGGCGGCAGTAGCATGCGTTTGGTGGACGCAGGCATTTTGGACCAGGGGAAGGTAGAATAGACTTTGGTGGCCACCTGAAAACTCTGGAGAGAGGGTTTTGAAATTAACAAAAATTAGAAAAAAAATTTAAGGATAAACAAAAAGTCCTTGACGGTTAATTTTATAGAAGTAATTTCATAGGAGGTTTTTTTCTTATAGGAAAAAAATCGTTTGTCAGGTTGCACCTATTTTTTCTGTAAAAAAATTTCCCATGCCCTGAGGACTTTTTCATATGAAAAAAAGCCATGGGACGGATTTTTTTCTATAGGAAAAAATTCCTAAGGCTCTGGAAAATGTGTTTTTATGAAAAATTCCCCAATATCCGGCGACTAATATTTTCTACAGAAAAAAGTCCACAATATCCGCTCTTTTTCTATAGAAAAAAATTCTCAATTACTGAGGTCCGAATTTGTACCCATAAGAAAAGATCCTAATTTCATTGTGAGGATTTTTGTATACCAAAAAATTCCTTAGTCCTCTGAGGACTGATTTTTTTCTCTAGAAAAAAATTCTCCGTTCTAGGTTGTGATTTTTTTATCGAAATAATCCTTCTTCTACTTCGTAATTTTAATTTTTCCTTACCACATCCGTTATTCTCTGTCCATTGTAACAGTACAACATCAGCTGCAGGGCCACAGCGCTTAACAGCAAAAATTGATACATCAATTTAGCCATTGATTGGCTGGCCCCAAAACTATTTAGAAAAAATGCCGAACAACAAATCTGGACACTGGACACCACGAATTTAACAAAAATTATGCCACCATAGACTAGATTCAATTCCTGTACCAAGTTCAGTGTACGATTATGAAATCGTACACAATCGAAAATTAAACGCTCCTGTTCCCGGCTCACCGACACCTCCGGGCGATCGAGACCCGGCGTCAACCATGCTGCACGCTGAAAACGTAACATTAAAATACGAAAGTGGGCCACGATGTTACACACCAGCCATGAAAATAAACTATCGATGGCCACCGAGGCAAAGGCCAGTGTATACATGCGCATCATGTTCCAAATGTAGACCAAGGAGTAGCCTGGTAAATGGCTATAGTCCCAGAGGTAACTGGAATTAACAAAAAAAGGAGTAAGAGAGAGAAAGGGAATTAAAAGAGAATCAATGTAAGAAATATTTAAGGAGTTCTGCCTGGATGCCATTATCCACTTACGTGGCAGGATGTGGTGGTACCAGCACCAGATTCCCATGTTTGATGTAGATGATGATGGTCTTAATAATCGGTGCAAAATACCAAAAAATCCCGTTGAAAACACTGCCGAACCATAGACCGTACAGTGGAGAACATCCCTGGAATTCTCTTCTTTGGTTATCACCAACTCGTCAGATTTGGCTGAAAAAGGGAAAGAGATGAAAATAAAGCTGGGTTTTCTCTATAGAAAGCACCTCTGTTCAGAGGAATAATTTTTTTTCAATTTTCTACAGCAAAAAATTTCTCATTTCTGAGGAATGATTTTTTTTAAAAAATTCTTCAATCTTGAGGAATGAAAAATTCATCAGTCCCGAGGAGTGATTTTTTTCTATAGAAAAAATGCATCAGTCCCGAGGAGTGATTTTTTTCTATAGAAAAAAATTCATCAGCCCTGAGGAGTGATTTGTTTCTATAGAAGAAAATCATCAGCCCTGAGGAGTGATTTTTTTCTATAGAAAAAATTCATCATCCCTGAGGAGTGATTTTTTTTTTTGTCTAGAGAAAAAAATTCATCAGCCCTGAGGACTGATTTTTTTCTATTTTTTTTAAATTTTATTGAATGAAAGAAAAAAATGTCGGAAATAGCATCAAATTTTAGAATAAGTTTAGATTTGTTCGAATTTGTGACCTTTGGCTCGAATTATGGCCTCCAAACGGCCAATGAAACCGTCACACGCTGCCCGAATGTTGATCTGCGATATTTTGGTCCATTCTTTTTAGTGCCAATCTTGCTTTCCAAAATACTCCAGACACATTTGTCCAACGGATTGGTATCCGGAGATTTTGGTGGCCACTGTGCGATGGAAATGAAGCGGGGAACCACATTTTTTAACCATTCTTGGTTACCAAGTGTTGAGTGCGGTGATGCTGAGTCCTGTTGGAATGTCCAAGTCTGCGGCCAAAATGTTTGCGTGCCCAGGGCTTTAATACGCCCTCCAGAATATTATGCATTTGATGCAGCGGCCCACACAATCACCATGGCTGCCGCTTGGGTTCTGGTGGCCAATCGAAGATGCACATTTTCAGCTGACCTGGCATATTTGGCAAGTAAACACGACCATTTTGTTTGTTTACAAACTGCGGGACAACGAATGTTTTCTCATCGGAAAAAAACAAATTTGACAGTTCACCACTTTCGGCCAAGCGAAGCTACTATTTAGCTTTTTTTGAGTCTAAGTTCTTGCACTTTTTGGAATTTCAATGGCTTTACCTCGAGCTCATTTTTCAATATTTGCCGAATGGAATAATCCGATATGTTCAGCTCACTAGCCATTTTTCCCCAGTGGCCGATCGATCAAGTCGCTTCCTTACTTTTACAAACATTTCTGCTGATGTTGCAGTTTTCTGCCGTCCTCTTCATTGACATATGTCGGGCTACGCTACCAGTATCACGGTTCGGTAACGAGCGTTGGTACGGGATACAAAAGTTTTATTCACATTTGAATGGTGGCTGGAGTGCTCTAACTATAGCCACTTGTGGTTTTCCAGCCAAATATAAAGAAATCACACAATCACGCTTGAATTCCATCACGAATAACTTTTGTTTCGGAAAATTCTCATCAAAATGCTTTTGTACACTTGTCAACAATATAATGAGCTGTCACTGAAATAACTTTAACAGCAGTCGGACGTGTGAATTCGAAATGACAGCAGTCTGAAGTTGATTGCAGTTTTTTTCATCTCACACCTGAGGAATAATTTTGTTTTTCTATAGAAAAAAAAGTCCTCAAAAATCCTTTTGTTTTAATCCTCGTAGTTTTCACACCTGAAATCATTTACTCACCATTGAAAACATCTTCCTGCAACATTTTGACCAATTTAACAATATCACGACGTTTAAAGAGAAAAATTAGAATTTTTGTCAAACAAATGACACCCTGGCACGAGAGGGAAAATGAATATGTCGCCGTAACCATGTTATTGGAATTCTTGTAGGCATAGTGTCCAATCGAGATGTACTGCAGCACAGGCATAACAGTTATCACCAGCAAAAGCAGGGGATGTTTGGCAATCCGTTCGGGGCCATTTGGCAGAAAGGCGTTCACATCAATTCCGATGGCGGTAAGAGTTCGTCGCTGTATACCAAAGTAACGTTTAACTATTTTCATGATGGTTTAAAAATTAGCGGAAATTTGTGAAACTGATTGGAATCGAGACGTAAGAAAGACTGTGGTAATGCTTGAGAAGGAGGATATTTAAATATGAAAATGAACTTGAAGCCCAGGAACGAAATATGAAATTGATACCCTACATTTATATGTTTTTTTCATTAATTTTGAGAAAAGAACGGGGCATAGCATTTTTAAAGAATGTCATTCCAAGGACCAAAAAATCACCGAATGTGGGTTTCTAAAGAATATTTTTCTAATGACCAGAGGACTAACAAACGTGAATTTTTAATGAATAAAATTTCAATAACCAAGGACTTACAGGCTTGGATTTTTTAAGAATATTCCTTCAAGGTTTGAAGGGCTATCAAACTTGGATTCTCAAAGAAACATTTTTAACAAACTTAGATTTTTAAGGAATATTTTTTCTAGGATCAAAGGACGAACAAATTTAGATTTTTATGCAAATTTTTTTTTCAAAGACCAAGGACAAAGGAAACTATAGAATATTTTTCCAAGGACTAACAAAGGTGTATTTTTTATTGAATAGCTTTTCAAGGACTAACAAATGCGGATTTTTAAGTAATATTATTTAGGGACCAAAGGACAAAGAAATTTGGACTTTAAAGGAATATTTTTTCAAGGATCAAAGGACTAACATATGTGAAATTTTAAGGAATATTTCTTCAAGGATCAAAGGACTAACAAATTTGTATTTTCAAAGAATATTTCTTCAAGGATCAAAGGACGAACAAATTTATATTTTTAAGCAATATTTTTTTTCAAAGACCAAGGACTGAGAAAACTATTGAATATTTTTCCAAGGACTAACAAAGGTGTATTTTTTATTGAATAGCTTTTCAAGGACTAACAAATGTGGATTTTTAAGGAATATTATTTAAGGACCAAAGGACAAAGAAATTTGGACTTTAAAGGAATATTTTTTCAAGGATCAAAGGACTAACAAATTTGGATTTTCAATGAATATTTCTTCAAAGATCAACGGATGAACGAATTTAGATTTTAAAGGAATATTTTTTCAAAGACCAAAGACTAAAAAAGCTAAAGAATATTTTTTCAAGGACTAACAAAGGTGGATTTTTAATTTCAAGGGCTAAATAATTTAAATAATATTTTTCCAAGGACTAAAGGATCACCAAACATGGGTTCTTTAGGAATATTTTTCCCAGGACTTAAGGACCACCAAACGTGGATTTTTAAGAAATATTTTTTAAGGACCAAAAGACAAAAAAAATTGGATTTTAAAGGAATATTTTTTTAAGGATCAAAGGACTAACAAGTGTGGAATTTTAAACAATATTTTTTCTAGGACCAAAAAACGAACTAACCTGGATATTAAAGGAATATTTTTTCACGGATCAAAGGACTAACAAATATGGAATTTTAAGGAATATTTTTTCTAGGACCAAAGAACGAACTAACCTGGATATTAAAGGAACATTTTTTCACGGATCAAAGGACTAACAAATGTGGAATTTTAAAGAATATTTTTTCTAGGACCAAAGGCCAACAAAACTTACAACGTGGATTTTAAAAAATATTTTTAAGGACTAAAAACATGGATTTTTATATAAAAGTTTTACAAGGATTAACAAATGTGGATTTTTTAAAAAACATTTTCCAAGGACTATAGGATTAACAAACGTGTATTTTTTAAAGAATATTTTCCAAGGACTATAGGATTAACAAACATGGATTTTTTAAATAATATTCTCCAAGGATTACAGGACCACCAAACGTGGATTTTTAACGAATATTTTTCAAAGGACTAAAGAACCACCAAACGTGGATTTTTAAATAATATTTTTCAAAGGACCATAGGACTACCAAACGTAGGTTTTTCGTAGATTATTTTCAAAGGACTAGAGGATCAACAAACGTGGATTTTCAAAGAATATTTTTCTGAGGACTAAAGAACCACGAAACGTGGATTTTTAAATAATATTTTTCCAAGGACCAAAAGACTACCAAACGTAGATTTTTCGTAGAATATTTTCAAAGAACTATAGGATTAACAAACGTGGATTTTTTAAGGAATATTTTTAAGGGCTATAGGATCAACAAACGTGGATTTTTTAAAGAATATTTTTCCAAGGACTATAGGGCCTCCAAACATGGATTTTCAAAGAATATTTTTCCAAGGACCAAAAGACTACCAAACGTAGATTTTTCGTAGAATATTTTCAAAGAACTATAGGATTAACAAACGTGGATTTTTTAAGGACTATAGGATCAACAAACGTGGATTTTTTAAAGAATATTTTTCCAAGGACTATAGGACCTCCAAACATGGATTTTCAAAGAATATTTTCCAAAGGCTATATGATCAACAAACGTAGATTTTTTAAAAAATATTTTCCAAGGACTAAAAAATCACCAAACGTAGATTTTTTAAAGAATGTGTTCCAAGGACTTTGGGATCAATAAACGTGGATTTTTTAAGGAATATTTTTCAAGGGCTATAGGATCAGCAAACATGGATTTTTTAAAGAATATTTTTCCAAGGACTATAGGACCTCCAAACATGGATTTTTTAAAGAACATTTTTCCAAGGACTATAGGATCAACAAACGTAGATTTTGTAAAGAACATTTTCCAAGGACTTTGGGATCAATAAACGTGGATTTTTTAGAGAATATTTTTCAAGGACTAAAGGGCATCCAAACGTGGACCAAAAAATCATAAAAAATTTATTTTTAAAGATTTTTTTCAATGCCAAACGTTGACATTTCAAAGATATTTTTTCCAGGACCAAAGGACCATCAAACGTTTAACTTTTATGGAAATTTTTTCAAGGACCAAGAAATCGAAATAAAAATAATTTTTAAGGACTTTTGTCCAAGCCCAAACCTTGTTTTTAAAAACTTTTTTTCAAGGACTAATAACAACCAAAGTTTTTTCAAGGACCAAAAGGACTATAAAATATTGCATTTTTAAGGATATTTTTGCAAGGACCAACTATCATTAATTTTGGTCGTCTATCAATATTAGAATTTTTAAGCAATATTTTTTTAACGACCTCCAACAGAATTGTTTCACGGCATTTAGTCTACCAAACCACATATGATTTTACAAGGATCGCCAGACCACCAAACGTGTTTTATACATTAAAATATATTTTTTCAGACGACAGTGGGATCCCTACATGTGGATTCCCAAAAATTATTTTTGTAGTAGCCACCAAGCGAGGATTTTTGCATGAAATTATTTCAAGGACATCATTTACAATATTAGAAACATCAATGAAAGGTGTTGAAAATTCGACTTACATACACATCTGGTGTCGTCTTTAAAACGTATTTTCTTACTGCCTCTAATAATAGGCCAACATTTGTAATTTCATAAATAAGTATGTACATCGCAATTGTATGCAATTATCCGAACCGAAACCAAAGAAGTAAAATTACACGAAAATATAATCTAAAATTCTCAACACTCAAATTGCATACAACACAATACTCATCCTCTATAATTTAAATGCAAATATGCTTGCACATATTTGCACAACGCTTACCAGTGTTTGCTTAAAAATTACTCAGATTGCAACTGCAAATTAAATGCCGTGGAAATTATCACAACCATTCCCCCTATGCTGCCCAGCAATGCAAAGGAAGGATACCGGAAATGGTATTCGAAAATAATATCTAACTAATGGTGTTTTGGCACTCGCCAAACGCTCGCAAATAGCTGGACACACTGCTTTTTAATTAAAAATGTTTATTTTGTGCAGTTAGTTTTTTTTTTTTTCTCAGAACACATTTAGCACATTCCTAAGGACATACACCTCCACACATAGTTGGATGGGAGAGTAGCTGATAATCCACTGAACAAAAACCTCGGTTTTTATTTGGAATTTTTATTGGCAAATACACAGGCGAACGAGTGGGAATTTGACCATTTAAATAATGTGTGAGCGGATGTAAGGATGGCCGGGTTGCCACTTTGGGGAAATGGACTAAAACCCCGAAAAAAAACACACTAAAAAACAAGTAAGCAAAGGCTACAGTTGAGCGGGGTCGACCGTTGAATATCCTACAACACTATAATAAACGATACAGTTTATATAGGCAAAATACTCGAAAGGATTCCACAAGATATTGTGACAAATAATAAAAGAAAGCCATCAGGTTTCGTTCTCTAATTTTCGAATAATAGCAACTTAAACTAATTTGCTCAGTTCCAATTTATTGGCAGATGTTGCACGTATATGGTCTTCATAGATCTGGAACCAACATTTCCCAAAGACCTATAATCTCTCAGAAGTGGCAAAAGATTAACATTTATTATTGGTTTTTGACTGAAACGCATCTATATGAGATACAGACATTTGACTATATTCTTCAACGAAATTAGCGTTATCGAAATGATCAGAAGTGCGTCTTTCCTGTATTTGTGAATTCTCCAAGAAGTCACTGGAATGGACATTTTCGTATTTTGTCTACAAAAGTCGGCAAACTATTTCACACATTGAATATTTCTGGATGGCCATCCGAAACTGCTTGGCTTTTGCAATGTCCGGTAACCCCCATTCAAATGTGCGTGAGGATCGGGCGATAATTACGACCTGCTGACAATTTTGCTGTTTTTTTAGTCCATTTCAACCCCTAATTATATGGCGATCATCTCCAAAAAGAGTAGGCTTCTATTCTGACCCTCATCTTATCTCCATGCAAAATTTCGTAAGGATCGGGCCATAAATGCGATCTGTATATGATATCCTGATATCCTAACTACTTAGTTTTGTTAGCTGTAGAAATATTACCAAATGTTTAATTCAAAATTAAAATATGCCAAAAATATGACAAAATTGAAAAAATATGTGAAAATGTTACAAAATCAATATTTTCGTCATTAGCGAGATATTTTTATTCGATTTTTTAGACGTTTTTTCTTTCTTGGCAAGACACCATTCTGAATTAATGAGAACTGTCGAAATCAGTTCAGCCGTTCTCCACATATAAGAGATCTTTCAAGCATATCTTCTTTGATAGACATATATATCGCACATATTTTGTTATATATCCGATTTGTTGGATGTTAACATCAATGTAAAGATCAGAAGTAACCTTGTCATGGCTTTGTGATTTCGCCGGGATTTAAAATATTCGCGGTTTAATGAAAAATAAGAAAAATGTTGAATTTTTTCAACACAAGAGATATGGTCTATTTTACCCGCTAAATATTATCCAAGGACCACCCAAATTAGTAGGCTTCTTTCCAGCCCTAAACTCTAGCTACATGCGAAATTCCGCGTCGATTGGTCTATAATTGCGACCTGTATAGCTACTGCAAAATCCGACATTTTTCAGTATTTGGTCCATTTCAACCCCTAAACATTTGACGATCATCTCCAAAAGAAATGACCCTAACCCCACCTTCGTGCAAAATTTCGTTAGGATCAGGCCATAATTGCGACCTGTAGCGTGATTACAAATTAACATGGAAGACGGAAAAACGAACGAACGAGCTGGTGTTTTTTGTATTTTTTCTCGAGTTTATTGGTCATGTTTCTACACAGCATTGTTTTTGTAGCAAAAATGACCCAAAGGCAGATAGCTGCTGGCCATAATATTAAAAGGAAGAAACAACAACAATATGATACCAAGTATTCCCCAAAAACAATGGATGCAAAAAGTATATTTTAAGAAACGCACTTACAATTAACTGTACACAAATAGGCAGTGCATAGTAATTTATTTTATGTAATTCTTACATATTGGTAAGGAGAGGATAAATAATTGCAATAGTTAAAAAAGGATATAAATAAATTATTTTAAAACAATATCCTTCATAAATTCATGATTGATGATCGTTTGGTCCTTTAAAACTTATTTAAAAATCATCTATTGGTTGTACTTGACAAATCTAGGTCTGGTAGAATAAAGTATTAAAAAATGGTGTTCAAAAGTCCACATTTCAAGGTCCTTTGGTCCATGGACAAATCATCTTTGGCACTTAAAAATAAATCGTTCAAGGAGCTCTGATCTTTGGAAAAATATTCTTTAAAAATCTGCGTTTGGTCCTGGAAAATATTTTTTTGGTCCTTGGAAAAAAAAATTTTAAAAGTCAACTTTTTTTGGTCTTCTCTAAAAACCACTTTTTTAATTTAAAAAATTTCCTTCCTAAATTCATGATTGATGATCCTTTGGTCCTTTAAAAATTATTTAAAAATCATCTATTGGTTGTACTTGACAAATCTAGGTCAGGTAGAATAAAGTATTAAAAAATAATGTTCAAAAGTCCACATTTTATGGTCCGTTGGTCCATGGAAAAATCATATTTAGCATTTGAAAATCGTTAAAAGTCCTCTGATCTTTGGAAAAATATTCTTTAAAAATCTGCGTTTGGTCCTTGAAAATATTTTTTTTGGTCCTTGGAAAAATACACTTTTAAAACTTTTTTTGGTCTTTGGAAAAAAATTCTCTAAAAATCCACTTTTTTGGCGTTTGGATAAATATTCTTAAGAAATTTATTTTATTTGGTGTTTTGTTTTTTTTTTTTTTTTGATCCTCTGAAAAATATTCTCTAAAATTCACTTTATTTGGTCCTGGGAAAATATTCTTTAATAAGCCACTTTATTGGGTCCTTGTGCAAATTTTTCTTAAACGTCCACGTTTGTTGTTGTTTTGGTCCTTAGAATAATATTCTTTAAAAATCCTCTTTATTTGGTCCTTGGAAAAATATTATTCCAACATCCTCGTGTTTGGGTCCTTGGAAAAATATTTTGTAAAAGTACACGTGTTTCGGTCCTTGAAAAAATATTCATTAAAAATCCATTCTTTTTTTTGTTCCTTGGGTATTTTTCTTTAATATCCACGTTTGTTAAAAAAAATATTCTTAAAAGTCCACTTTTTTGATCTTTGGAAAAATATTCTCAAAAAATTCACTTTATTTGGTCCTTGAGTAAATATTTTTTTAAACATCCACGTATGTTTTTTTTTTTTGATCCTTGGAAAAATATTCTTTAAAAATGCACTTTATTTGGTCCTGGGAAAATATTCTTTAATAAGCCACTTTATTTGGTCCTTGTGCAAATATTTCTTAAACATCCACGTTTGTTGTTTTTTTTTATCCTGGAAAATTAATTTTTAAACATCCTAGTGTTTCAGTCTATGGAAAAATATTCTTTAAAAATCAAGGTATTTTGGTCCTTGGAAAAATATTATTTTTCAGTCAACGTTGTTTTGGTCCATGGATAAATATTCTTAAGAAATTCACTTTATTTGGTCCTTAAGTAAATATTTTTTAAACATCCTCGTGTTTGGGTCTATGGAAAAATATTATTTAAAAATCCACTTATTTGGCCCTTGAAAAATATTCTTTAAAAATCCACTTTATTTTTTTTTTTTTTTTTGTTCCTTGAATATTTTATTTTAAAAATCAACGTTTGTTGTTTTTTTGGTCCTTCTTTAAAATTCCACATTTTTGGTCATTGAAAAATATTTTTTATTAATCCACTTTATTTGGTCCTTTGATAAATATTATTTAAATATACACGTTTGTTGTTGTTTTGGTCCTAGGAAAATTATTCTTTAACAATCCACGTTTCATTGGTCCCTGGAAAATATTCGTTAAAAGAAGGGGGTTCTTGAAAAGTATTCCTTGAAAACCCACTTTGATTGGCATGAAGGTCCTCGAAAAATGTTTTGAAAAAATATTTTTTTTAAAGATCAAAAGATTGATGAATTGTGGATTTTTAAGGAATTATTTTCAAGGACAAACATACGATCCTCGAAAAATTATTCCTTAAAAATCCAAAATTGAAGATCCTTTGATCCTTGAAAAAATATTTCTTAAAAATCCTTGTTTAGTGGTCCATTTAGTCCTAGAAAAAATATTCTTTAAAAATCCACGTTAGTAGTCCTGTGGTCCTTAAAAAACTTTTGAATGCATGTTCTGTGATATTTTAGCTTCTGGAGAAATATTCCTTACAAATCCACGTTTTTGATCCTTGGAAAAAAAAATTCTTTAGAAATCCTCGTTTTTGGTCCCTGGAAAAACATGTCTTTAAAAGTCCACGTTTTTAGATTCTCTTGTCCTTGGTAAAATTTTGATTAAAGATCCACGATTTTATGTCCTTTTGTCCTTGAAAAAAAATGTTAATGATTCACGTTTTAGGTCTTTTTTACCTTGGAAAATATCCACGTTTATAGACACTTTGGTCCTTGGAAAAAATTCTTTAAAGTTCCACGTTTTTAGGTCATTCGGTCCTTGGAAAAAAAATTCTTGAAGGTCCTTATGTCCTTAAAAAACATATTTAAAGATCCACGTTTTTAGGTCCTTTGGTCCCTGTTAAATTTTTCTTTAAAGTTCCACCTTTTTAGGTCTTTCTGTCCTTAAAAAACATATTTAAAGATCCACACTTAAGGTCCTCTTGCCCCTGAAAAAAATTTTTAAAGATCCAAGTTTTTCGGTCCTTTGGTCCTTGGATTTTTTTTTTTCAAGATCCACATTTTTAGTTCTTTGGTCCTTAAAAAAAAATTATTTAAATATCCATGTGTTAATTCATTAAAAACATTTCTTTAAAAATCAACGTATTTAGGTCTTTTCTCCTTAAAAACAATTTTTAAAGATCCATGTTTTCTTTTGAAAAAAATTCTTTAAAGATCCACGTTTGATCATTTGAAAAAAAAATTTTAAATGTACACGTTTGATCCTTTGGAAAAAAATCTTTAAAGATCCACATTTGATCCTTTGAAATAATTTCTTTAAAGACCCACATTTGATCCTTTGAAAAAAAATCGTTAGAGGTCCTCGTTTGATCCTTTGAAAACATTTCTTTAAAGATAAAATTTTGATCCTTTGAAAACATTTCTTTAAATATCCACGTTTGATCCTTTGAAAAAAATTATTAAATATACACGTTTGATTCTTCGAAAAAAATATTATTAAAGATCAACGTTTGATCCTTTAAAAAATTCTTTTAAGATTCACGTTTGATCCTTTGAAAAAAATTTATAAAGATCCACGTTTGATCCTTTAAAAAAATCTTTTAAGATTCACGTCTTAAAATCTTTAGAAATCCACGTTTGTCGGTCCTTTAGTCCTCTAAAAAATATTCTTTGAAAATCGAAGTTTTCGGCCTTTTGGTCCAAAATATTCTTTAACACTCCGCGTTTAGTGGTTCTTAGGTTCCTTGGACAAATATTCGTTAAAAATTCACCTTTGGTAGCCTTAGGGTCCTTGAAAAAATAGTCTACAAAAATCCACTTTTGGTGGTCTTTTAGGCCTCAGAAAAATATTTCATAAAAATCATTAGTCCTTGGGAAATAAACTGTACAAATCTACGTTTATTGGTCTTCTTTAAAACTCCTCGCTTGTTAACCTTAGGGTCCTTGAAAAATTTTTTGAAAATCCACGTTTGTGGCCCTTGAAAAAAAAAAAAACTTCTTAAAAATCCACGATTGCTGGCCTAAAAATTCTCGAAAACTGTTTCTCTAAGAATTCTCGAAAACTATTACTCTAAAAATTAACGTTTGGTGGTCCTTTAGTCCTCAGAAAAATATTCTTTAAAAATCCATTTTGATCGTTGGAAAATATTCTTTAAAAATTAGTTTTTTGTTTTTGGAAATATTCTTTACAAATCTACGTCGTCTTGCCTGAGTGTCCTGAAATGCAGTTTTTTATCCACTTTTGTTGGTCTTTTGATCCTAGAAAAAAAAAAACTCTTTTAAAAAGGAAATGGTGGTCCTTCATCCGTTTAAAAAAAAATTCATTAACTTGTTTTGCAAAAATTGTCATAAAAACTGTTGGGACTTGGTGGCGTATGATTAATGACGTCACTTATCCGCAACCCTATAACAAATAATTTCTCCCTTTTTTCTAAGACCATAAAAAACTCATATAAATTAACTACTAAATTCCATTTTTATTTCGTTTAAACTGAAACAAAGAACATTTAATAAAATTCCATGTTCATAAAATACTTGAATTTGCAATTGCTACCACTTGTCTTGAGCATATCTTCGTGTCTTTTTTGGAGAACCCTTATTCTTTTTCCTCCAATGTTTTTAAAGCAGCAATCAAGGAGCCAGCAGTTCTAAAGACCTGCAAGAATGCAATACCAAAAAAAAGAAAAGGAAAACAAAAAAAAAGAAAATGGAATAACACAAGAAAAACAAACATTGTTTTAAGTGTTTTTAAAAATATTTACAAAATATGCAAATGCCATGGCAATAACCATGAATATTCTCCCAGTACGAAGAGACCAACTTACCCACAAATACAGACTCAAATCGACAGTAAAGAATACGCCACGCAGTTCACTAAATTGCTGGGCACGTATCATGGGTATCAGCAGCATACGTTGGGTGGAGACGGGCATCTTGGACCAGGGGAAAATCGAGTAGATTTTTGTTGTCACCAATAGACTCTGAAATGCGGGGGGGAAGGGGGAGTGGAACGAAAAGTTCATGTAAAATTGAAAATTGTGGAAATTTAAAAATTAAATCTTCAGATTGGGATAAAAAGCTTGATAGAATTTAAAGAAAATTGGTGCTCCAGTGCGTATGATTAAACAAATATTTATCATGCGCCCCTATGGTTATATCAGGGTCTCAGAATCTTCGAAAAGGAATGGTCCGATTTCTACCGTTTTATCACAGACCATATGTTGATGGAAATAATCAGATGTGCCAAGTCTAAATGGAATCGGATTTTAATTTCACGTTTTATGAACTTAATGGATATTCAAAATTTCGACCCTTGGTGGGAGAGGTACCAGAAGGAGTGGACCCATATAATCCATCTTAGCACCACATCTTATGTTTTCAAAAATATTGGGATGTGTGAAATTTTAAGACAATCGGATTCTCACATCAAATTTTATAAGTTATAATTATTCAAAATTTTGACCCTTTGTGGGGGAAGCACTTGATGGAGTGGGGCGATATTATCCATTTTTTCACCTGACCGAGAACTAAGGCAAATATTAGGTTTTGCAAAGTTAGAACAAAATCGGATTATTGCTTTTCTTTCTGTGCCGAAAATATATTTTTTGAAAATTTCGACCTTTTGTGGGGGGAGGTACTAAAAGGGGTAGACTGATATATCCCATCTCAACACCAGATCTTGGGTTAATAAAAATATTGGGATGTGTAAAATTTGAAGACAATCGGGCTCTTACTTTACATTTTATGAGAGTTTTAATTATTCAAAATTTTGACCCTTTGTGGGGGAGGTACTTGATGGAGTGGACCGCTATTGTTCATTTTTTCACTTGATCTAGCACTGATGCAAATATTAGGATTCGCAATATTCGAGCAAAATCGGATCACCCTTTCTCTTTCTGTGCAGAAAATATATTTTTTGAAAATTTCGACCTTTTGTGGGGGAGGTACCAAACGGAGTGGACCGATGTTGCCCATCACCGAACTCTATCTAAGTTTGACAAAAATATTACGATGCACCAAGTTTGGACCTTATGCGATACTCCCTTCGAGAGTTATCGTGCGCACCAGACAGACAGGCGGACGGACGGACATCGCTAGATCGACTCCAAATGTCCTGACACGGATTTGGTCCAAAGAGACCTTGGTCCAAAGAGTCCTTGGTCCAAAGAGACCTAGGTCAAATGATATATACTCTCTCGAGCCATATGGCTGAGGGTATAACTAGCCATATGGCTGAGGGTATAATTATCATACGGACCCATGGACCGAAAAAAAGAAAACAACATTTTAAACCATTTGGTTCAAAGAGACCTTGGTCGGATTTGGTCCAAAGAGACCTTGGTCCACAGAGACCTAGTTCAATTGATATATACTCTCTCGAGCCATATGGCTGAGGGTATAACTAGCCATATGGCTGAGGGTATAATTATCATACGGACCCATGGACCGAAAAAAGAAAACAAAATTTTAAACCATTAAAAAAATTAGAGAGACAAAATTTTATAAAAATCAAAAGAAAAAATGTGCTTTCGGACGTATGATTAACATTTCCATCAATTATATACAGCATACGCACCCGTGAACTCAACCCTACTGCCAATCATTCAAACCATTTCCTCAAATTTCTACAATTCACACACATAAAATCTTCTTAAAGTCAATACCTACCTCATCCTTCAACCTCTGCCCATTGTAGCAGTACAATATCAACTGCAAGGCTGCCGCCGACAGAAACATACACAAATAGGCCACATTAAACAGCGAATTATTGCCGCGCACCAAATGAAAGGCCAAACAGCAAATCTGCGTTCCGGAAACAATAAACTTAACAAATATGATGGCTCCATAGAGACTATTTAGCTCCTGTGTCAGCCGTAAGGTACGACGATGGAATTTCACACAGGCAATAATTGCATCCACCATGCCTGCCTGCGGATCCAATTCACCCATCAGGGGATTATCGTCATCATCGTCGACATGATGTGAGGCTGTCATTGGCCGCGTGGACATCACCTGACGCGAGGCCACCTCCAAACGATGCATTAGAATACGAAACTGGGCAATGATATTGCACACCAGCCATGAGAACATGCTCTCGGTGCTGACAGCCGAACAGGCTATGAAGTAGATGATGAAAACGTCCCAAATGTAAACCAGCGAATAGCCTTTAACGTGTTCATGATTCCAAAAGTAGCTGGCAACGAAAGGAAAAAATCGCAGTTTAAAAACAAAACGAAAAAAAAAACAATCAACGACAACGATTCATGTAACCAGTCCCAAATTGAAAGAGAGGAAACGGAAACCGGTCCTCCGGAAAAGGGTCGGCAAACATTGAAAGGAAGTCATGAGTTCACCCGCACACATTCGTAACAAGGACGGAAATAATAGAAAATGTTAACAATTATCATAAGGTCGGTCAATAACAGAACGGATGTCATAGAGGGCAAACAAATTATGTGATTACATTGTAACAAAAAAGACAAACAACCAGAAAGAGACTTAAAAGGGAATTCACAACATCAGCACAAAAAAAAATAAATAGCAGTGGGAGGAGTTTTAAGTCCACAATATGTATTCCACGGAGAAAACAACTTTTAAATGGCCTTATCTTCATAGAAAAGCGGCAAAAGTTAGTTAACGCAGACATAGGTTGCGAAGGATGTTAAGAAGATTGCTATTAACAGACAGACCATGAAAGCTCCTCCAAATGTAAAAGGGATTTAAAATCTCTTTGGTCCCTAGAAGGGATTCAGAAACACTACTACACGTAAAAAAAACTTCAGAATCATTTTGGATTCTATTGCTCTACTATACAATGAAGAGCTACTAAAAGCATTAAGACCCACAGAGGAAGAGCTTAAGGAAGAGTTTTTAAAGGTCTTCCATTATTGGAAGAATTCTTACAGACCTGTCCGCTGTAGAATAGGTTTCTAAAGTTGATATCTGCTATATAGAACAGCTTTAAGAAGACTTACATCGTGAGAGGAGCTTTAGTTCTTCTATAAATAAAGGAATTTTCAAAGGATTTCTATTTGTAGAAGCACTTTTAAATGTCTTTATCTAAAAAGAGCGGTAGAAGGCCTTCTATCCATAGAAGAGCTTTCGACGCACTTCTGTCTATAGAAGAGCTTTAGTAGCGTTTCTGTCTATAGAAAAACTTTCGAAGCTCTTATATCTATAAAAGAGCTTTTGTCTATAGAAGAGCTTTCAGAGCCCTTCTGGTCTCTCCTTCAGAGAAGGTCTTCTATCCATAGAAGAGCTTTAGAAGGTCTTCTATCCATAGAAGAGCTTTAGAAGGTCTTCTTCCATAGAAGAGCTTTATAAGGCCTTCTATCCATAGAAGAGCTTTCGACGCACTTCTGTCTATAGAAGAACTTTCGAAGCTCTTATATCTTTAAAAGAGCTTTTGTCTATAGAAGAGCTTTCAGAGCCCTTCTGGTCTCTCCTTCTGAGAAGGTCTTCTATCCATAGAAGAGCTTTAGAAGGTCTTCTATCCATAAAAGAGCTTTGGAAGGTCTTCTTCCATAGAAGAGCTTTAGAAGGCCTTCTATCCATAGAAGAGCTTTCGACGCACTTCTGTCTATAGAAAAACTTTCTAAGCTCTTATATCTATAAAAGAGCTTTTGTCTATAGAAGAGCTTTCAAAGTCCTTCAGTCTATAGAAGAGCTTTCAGAGTCCTTCTGCCTATGGAAGAGCTTTAAAAGGCCTTCTATCTATACAAGAGCTTCTATCTATGTGTACAAAAGCTTTTAAAGATCGTCTATCTATAGAAGAGCTTTTAAAGTTTCATTTCTATAAAAGAGCTTTAAGACATATTTTCTATCTTTAGTAAAGCTTTTGAGAACCATGTATTTACAGGAGACCTTTTAAAAGTATTCTAGACAGTGAAAAGCTTTTAAGATGATTTCAAATAGAAATAAAAAAGGTTTTAGAGCTCGTTTAACTAAGGAATAACTCTTTTATATATTTTATGTATAAAAGAGTTTTAAGAAGTCTTCTATCTAAAGAAAAGCAATAAAAAGTGATATCTCTATAGAAGAGCTTTTAAATGTGTTTTATACCTTCAAAAGCTTTGGAAGTTCTTCCATACATAGCACAGCTTTAAGTGGTCTTATTTATGTAGAAGAACTATAAAAAAGTATTGTATCTAGAGTTGAGATTTTAACGGTTTCCTATGAATGGGCGAGAAGGAAGGATGGGGCTGTAATAGGACTTCTAACTAGAAAATAGCTTTCAAAAGCCTTCATTTTGTAGAAGAGCTTTAAAGAACTTCCGGCCATGGAAGCTGATATGTTGAAACACTTTTGAAGATATTCCACCTTTAGAAGAGCTTTTTTATCTGTCTTTTATCTGTAGACGAACTCTATAAGATATTCTGCTAAGAGAGAAAGCTATAAAGACTCCTCTGCCTATAAAGGAGTTTTAAATGTCTTTCGAAAATTTTCTGCTTTTAAATGAGCTTGAAAGGGTCTTCCAAGGTATTTCTATTTATAGAAGAGATCCAAATTACCTTCTCCAGTGGTGCTCCTGTGCGTATGATTTAAAAAATATATAACATACGCACCCGTAGATATAGATATAGATATAGGAGATCCAAATTACCTTCCCAAGAAGATTGTCTCTTGAACTCTAAGAGGCGATCTACAGGGTTGCCCATATTCGACGGGCCGTTGGGCCCATTCCAATCGACGAGGCTTGTCCGCAGGCAACATTCTTTGCGTCAATTGAGTTTTGTATGGGAACAAATGCAAATCAATGCAAATAATCCGTTGTAAAGTGGACCGAGCCATGCCCAACTGCTGAGAACGGCGTTTTTGGGATGTTCTTGGGGACCTCTCAACACTGGCTCGTACGGCAGCGATATTCTCGGCCGATCGCCTTGGTCGACTTTTATATGGCCTCTTCGGATTAGAAAAAGCCTTACCTGTCGAAAATTTTTCGTATAAACGCTTAATGGTGTTGCCGGAAGATTTATGATGGGCTCGCTCTAGCTCAACGCAGACCCTGTATGGAAAAAATATCTCTCAAAACTCTTTTAAGGAGGATCTTAACAGATAACGCCAGAACATAGGACCTATTACAACTTTTCAATGATTGGAAGGCCTTTAATATTTTATTTTTATTTTTCGTTTTTGTTATTTTTTTTTTTTTTTTTTTGTGAGGAATGGGAGAGATCCTTTTCCCCCTGTGCCAAACTTTGCTTAAAAGAAGAGCTTCGAAAAATCTTTTCTTTAATGCTCAAACTTTTTAATGGATGGCGTATAATAAGCAATTCACCATGATATTGCTCATACGCCCTGGCATACACTCATTAATACTCACTTTAATATATTTCCTACAATTTATATCGATATTTTAAGCAATTTGTGATTCTCATTCCTCGATTTACACTTACGTTGCTTTATGGGGCACGGGTAAATCCACTTCACCGGTGGTCACGTAGACGTGCACCGCAAAATATATGGGCACCAGCAGGCTCCAGGCGCCCGTTAGCAGTACCAGCACAAAATACGTTGTTGAAAAAATAATATCTCGAGTATTTTCTCGGCGTACGATTTTCAATTCTTCGCCCTCGGCTGGCAGGGAAAGGAGAAAGAGAGAGAGAGGACCAAATAGATGAAAATAACATTTAATGCCAGCTCAATTTGCAATTTTTCGCGCGTAAGTGCGTAGATCTTTCAATAAATTTTCAAATAAACGAATTGCAAATTTATTGCCTCTTACCCTTTACATTTAAACGTTCGATACGGGCAATCATATTGGCAAATTCCTTACGCTTCCATATGACCATAATAACTTTCCACACAGAGATTAACGACTGACAGAGTAGGGTCAACGAATCGGTGGCCTCCAAATAATCGCTGGCATTGTCCAGCACATAGTGGCCGTTGGCAATGCACAGGAGTATGGACATGACCAGGGGGGTCATCATCAACCATGGCCGCTTGACCATTTTTTCCGGTGTGGCAGCAATGTCCAAACCAAGGCCGGAAAAAATGAAACGTTGCAGGCGAAAGTAGCGCTTTAGTATTCTGGTCATTATTTGGGATTTTATTTCAACGGAACTTTTTTTCTTGGTTTCTCTTTTTGTATCCCCAAAAAGGCTTTTAAATAAACTTCAGCGGCTGAGTGTTAATCGAATGTGAAATAAAGTACTTTTGAGCGGTGCTGCTTTAATAGGCGCGGCCTTAAATAGTTGCACACTTTATGGGGCAGACAATGGCAGGGCTGATGTTTGTGATAACATATAAAGGCCTTGTGATAACTAGACCAATGCTAGACTTGTTATATTAGAGTCTATATGACGAAGTGCACCTGCATAGGTAACTTTTGTCATAAGCCATAACAACATTCAAATACAAAACTTGAAAAAAAACGGTGAATAATGTCGCTCAAATCGTCAGAGTATTGAATATGGAGTACCGTTATATGAGGGCTATACATAGACGTGGGCCTGCACAAAAAATTTTCCGTCATAGGCTGTAGTATCCATTACGAAATTCAATGCCAATTCCGATCAATAATTGCCTAAAATCATTAAATTGCCGAATATGGAGAAGGGCAAATTTGAAACAATTCCGATGAATAAAGTCGCTATTATCATAAAAATACCGAATATCGGGAGGTACCGTTATATGAGGGCTACACACAGACGTGGATCTGCACAGACAATTTTCTGTCATAGGCTGTAATATGCCTTGCGAACTTGAAATACCAAATTCTAAACAACAACAATTCCGATGAATAATTAACTAAACTCATCAAAATGCCGAATATCGGGAAGGGCAGATATATGAGGGCAATACGAAGACGTGGGCCGGCACAGAAAATTTTCTTCCATAGTCTGTAGTATGGATTACGAACTTCAAATACCAAATGTGAAACAATTCCGGTAAATAATTACCTAAAATCATCAAAATACCGAATATTGGTATGGACAGATATAAGGGGGCTATACGAAGACATGAACCAGCACAGACATACATTCAGTCATAGGCTGTAGTGTCCATTACGAACTTCAATTACCAAATTCCAGTGGACGATGTCGCTAAAATCATAAAAATACCGAATTTCGGGAGGGCTTTACCATATAACTATTTAGCTATGGGGGAAATACTTACAACTCTGTTCAAAGAACTCTTAGAATTCTTTTATAAACAGAACGGATTTTTCACAAATGCCAACTTCTCTGAAGAGCCCCACAGGTGTTGCTCTTGGTTTTATTTCAAATTTTATCACTCCAAAATTGCTTAATTTTTCGGATAAACAAAGGCCCCTTGACCTTTTTCATAATTCACTGAAAATCTACCCAAATCCCGTCTCTGACATTTGCAATGTCCTTAATTAAAGACCATAGCTGTCATATTCAAATAGATTGGTAATTAAATCTGTCTTCGATGGCAAGCAGAATGCCATTGTTAAGCCATTTAACACCTGTAATGGCGGTGTAAATTTGTAATGAAACCCCAACAACATAAGTAGTAATTAATTGGGGTAAATTGTGTGTGTGTGTGTGTGGAAATAATTGCAGTCAGATGCAGGAAGTCCACACCTATTGTATGAAAATGTAGTGAATTGATTTCTCAGTAATTCAATACCAAATGGAAAGTGGTGGTGGGGGGAGGTTTGAGCTTGGTATGGTCTCTTTGAACTGGTGTTTATATGAAACATGTGTTTATAAGTTTATATATATATATATATATATATATATATATATATATATATATATATATATATATATATATATATATATATTCTTGATCGGCATAAAATTCTTTCTCTACTTAGCGATGTCTGTCTGTGGAAATCACTCTAGCTTCCGAACGAAAAATTTATAACATTTTACTCAAATGTATACAATGTTTGTAGGACTTTTGGTATTAAAAATGGTTCATGTAGGTCCATGTTTCGGTATAGCCCCCATATAACGGTATCTTCCGATATTCAGTATTTTGATGATTTTACCGACATTATATACCGGAATTGCTTCAAATTTGGTATTTAAAGTTCGAAATGGATAATACAGCCTAGTATTGTCTGTGCAGGTTAACATTTTGGTATAGCCTCCCCATAACCCTCCACCATTTGGAAATCCTTTAAAAATTCTGTTAGAATCTTGAAAATCATATTACGGTCTAAACGACGAAGTGGACCTGCGTAGACAACTTTTGTCATAAGCCATTGCAATATTCAAATCCAAAATTGAAAAAAAAATCGGGAAATAAAGCAGCTTAAAACACCAATACAGGGAGGGAGAGAGTACCTCCCTATAGTAATCAGTATTCTTAATATCAAATTTCAGAATTTTATCACTATCCCAATACCTAATTTAGTACCATTTAGTACTTTTCGTACCGAGACCTCAATATTAAATTTGAGAATTCCAGCTCTATTTCTTCACCCTATACCAAATTTAGTACCCTTTAGTACTTTTCGTACAAATACAGTACACATTACCATCATTAATGAAAATATCGAATTTCAGAGTTGTATCTCCATCCCATTAATCAAAAGAAAATTTAGTACTATTTAGTACTTATCGTACAGTTATAGTACACATTTCCAAAACCACCTCCACATCTCAATTCCAAATACCAACAGAGACATCAATATCAAATTTGAGGATTCTAGCCCAATTCCTTCACCCAGTACCAAATTTAGTACCATTTAGTACGTTTCGTACAATTATAGGACATATTTCCCAGCTGCACATCAACATCGACTCTTGTATCAAATTTCAGATTTCAAACACTCTCTGTTTACCCAATACAAATAATTACAAATATAGTACTATTTAGTACTTTTCGTGCACTTGCAGTACACATTTCCAAAACCACCTTTGTATCACAAACCTACCACCAACAGAGATCGCAATACAAATTTCCTAAATGTCAGCTTTTTCCGTTCACCCCAAACCAAGCTGTTCCAGATTTAGTACCATTTAGTACAGTTCGCACACTTGTAGTACACATTTTCAAAACCGCCTTCATAGTAGATATCAAAGTTATTTATCATCCTTGATTTTCATACCAATTTTCTAGTTTTTAGCTCTATCCGTTCACATAATACAACAACGGTACCATTAAAGAATTTTCCGTAACACTAAAGTTCGAATTTCCAAAAACCCTTTTGTCCTGTACTCCACCTGTAAATAGGTAGCTCATTTCATTTGTCCAATACAAAATACTTAATTTTCTGTACATTTCAGTACTCTAAGTAACTTTTTTAGTACGAATTTCCAAAAACCCCAGCCTTACCACACGCCTAGCTGTAATACAGACCCTAGTGCAAAAGAAGTTTCTAAAACTCGAAACCAGTTATTTCACTACTATACATATATTTATATATAATTTTCTACAACTCTTCTCAAGCCTAGGCAACCGTCCCACAGTTTTCCAATACTGAAAGAACTCTGAGATGTTTCCCTTCTTTCTTTTCCTAATTCCGTTCCGTTCAAAATACTGAATTATTCGAAAAATATTAAATTCTTTTGGGTGTTTAACTTTCATTGAAATAATTTATGGTATTTATATTTAAATTGCAATTTTAAAAAGGGAGGGGGGGAAATAACTTTCGTCTAATTTTTAAAAAAAATTCCCAGTAATTATACCCTACAACACCTAATGTTGGGGGTATTATAAATTTGATTGGGCCAAAAATTATGTAACACTTCGAAATATTGTTTTCCCACATAGGAAAGTGCATATGTATCTTCCTATCTCGCCGAGCTGAATCGATCTAGCTATGTATGTCCGTTCGTTCGTCTGTCCATGTTAATTTGTAATCACTCTACAGGTCGCAGATCTTCACGAAATTTAGAATGTAGGTGGGGCTAGAGCCAGAATAGAAGCCAATTTCTTTTGGAGATATCGCATAATTATTAGGGGTTGAAATGGACCAAAAACTAAAAAATTTCCTGATTTCGCGATTGCTCTACAGGTCGCAATTATAGACCAATCGATGCGGAAGTTAGCATGTGGCTAGAGCTTAGGGCTGGGCAGAAGCCTTCCAGTTTTGATGGTCATCGGGTAATATTTAGTGGGTGAAATAGACCATAACATTTGTGTTAAATAAATATAAAATTTTCCATTAAACCGCGAATATTTTTTATCCCGGCGAGATCACAAAAAGACGAACAGGCCAATTCTGACCGTTACGTAGATGCCGGTAGTAAATATATCGGATATATATAGCAAAATATACACAATGTGTATTTTTTGTTTTTATATACAGATTGCAATTATAGTCCGATTCTCACGAAAAAGGGTAGAGTTAGGCTCAGAGGGGCTAGACCTTTTGTTTTCAAAGGAAATCCACAATATAGTTAGGGGATGGAATGGAACAAAAACAGAAAAAAATTCCTCATCACACAATTGAAGCCAATCGATACGCCTGAGAAGAAGAGTTAAGGTCAGGGAAGGATTCTACCATTTTGGGTGCTAATGGTCATTTAGCTGTAAAATGTACCACAATAATTAACAGCACGACGGAGTGCATAAATATTGGGCAAATACCTCTGTTCAAACTGCTAAGGGTAATGTCTGGGCAGTTCTCCGTGACATAATTACAAAAGCGAAATCTTCCAAAATGGATTTGGACATAAACGGGCTTCTAACATATTGTAGGGTTGTAGGGTATCACATGGTCGGCCCCGTACGACTATAGCCTTTGCTTCCTTGGTTGAATTTGTCCTAATATTGAAGTGTATATTTTGTAATATTTTTTCACCTAAAAACACAGGTTGGTGTTATTATCCGATCTTCACGAAAATTTCCACAGGGGAAGTGTTAGGCTCTGGCCTATTGTTTTTAAAAAAATCAGCAATATATTCAGGGGGACCAAAAACAGAAAAAAATTCCTCATCACACAATTGAAGCCAATCGACACGCCTGAGAAGAGAGTTAGGGCAAGGGAAAAATTGTATCATTATGGATGACCATTGGATTATATTTAGCTGTAAAGTGGACCACAACAACTAACAACACGACGGAGTGCATAAATATTGGGCAAATGTCTCTGTTCAAAATGCTAACGATAATATCTGGGCAGTGCTCAGTGACATAATTTCAGAAGCGAAATCTTTCAAAATGGATGAGGGCATAAAGGGGCTTCTAACATATTATTGTGTTGCAAGGTATCACATGGTCGGCCCCGCACGACTATAGCCTTTGCTTAC